GGAAGACTCTTTACTGCCCTCTTCTGGACACGGACGGTACTAATGCTTGAGTTTCCTGGGCAGTGGGGGACAGGGTAGTTGGTGGCCCGGAGCCCCGGGGACTGGCCTTGGAGGTCTGAAGCAGGGCCGGCAGGTTACTTCACACCCACCACACCCCTTAGCTTTCCCAGGGCACCCACTGCGCTCCCAGCTGGTGGTCTTGCTCCCAATTTCCAGAAAATGGACTGGCGGGACTTCCGGGATGTCAGCCAGGACCTCCCAAGGAGATGCAGTGCTCCCAGCCCCGGGTCCCGCTTCCTGGTCAGGGCACATGCCCGTGTCCTGGAGCGGTGAGCGGGCCACCAGGGAGACAGCAGCCCGTCCCCCGGAGGACAGGTGAGCCTGCCAGCTGGGTCGGGGGTCACCTTAGCTCGGCTGGGCCTCCCGACCGCACCCACCAAGATAGAGTGACCACGGCTGACATTTGGGGAGCACCGCCTCTGGTCCTCCCCAGACATTGCCCACATTTTTATAAACAGTTAGACCTAGACCAGCGGACAGAGCGTCGGCCTGCGGACTGAAATAGAAACATCAACGATGAGAGAGAATCATGGACCCGCTGCCTCCTGCATGCCCCACAGGGGATCGAGCCCACAACACGGGCATGAGCCCTGACCGGGGATCGAACTGTGACCTCCTGGTTCCTAGGCTGACGCTCGACCACTGAACCCCACCGGCCGGACATAAAAAGTAACCTTCCTGAATAGGAAGGTGTATTAAGAAAATGGTTTAGGATGGAGTTAAAACGGATACGTAGGGAGCCCGAGGTGAAGGTGTGAGTACCTGTGTGCGCCCACGTTTACCTGTGTCCACGAGTGTGTCTGCTCATGTGTGCACGGGGATGTGGACACGAGTGTTTCCATGTCTTCATGTGCCTGTGTTTACTCCATTGCACATGTATGAGCACGCGTGTTCAGAAAGGTTTCCAGCAGGAACTATGCCAGCCTCCTAGGAGCTCACCCCTGGCGGCAGATGGCAGCTGCCTAGTCTCCGCTCACTGCCCTGTGAGTGCCCCGGCTTGCCACAACCAAACGCCTGGGATCCAGCCTGCCCTCCAGGCTTGTGCCCTTGACCCACGTCGAACCCGGGACCCTTCAGTCCTCGGGCTGATGCTCTATCCGCTGAGCCACACCGGCAGGGCACAAAATCATGGCTTTTACAGCTGGAGAACGTGAGCCGTGAACAGACACCCCCAGGCCCCTGCCCACTCGGGTTCTGCGGTCTGTGGCCTGGCGGGTCCCCGGGCGCCCCCCTCCCGGTCCCCAGGCGCCCCTGGAGGCCGCGGTGGGAGGCGGCGGGTGGCGCACCAGGTTGGTCTTCTGCTTCTGCAGCTTGTGGAGCAGCTGGTGGAAGTACTTGGTCATCTTGTTGGAGGTGGTCTGCTCCTG